TGGGAAGAAGTTCTCCAAAAGCGTCTTGCAGAAGAAGTGAAAAACAAAGAACTTAGACATTTGTTTGATGATGAGAACAAAGAGACTGATGTTATGAATGCAGCTTTTGAGATGGGATACAATGGTGTGGACCCCAACTGGAATACAAAAGACACCAGCAAGAAAAAATATAAAAAGAAACATCATGCACCAGATCCTAATGTGAACATTATCAGTCCTGTGAACTATCAACCAAATGCTTTGATCAATGCAAGTCCTTCTGTAGAATCAGTGGAATTTACAAAGGACTACAGTGGTTCTCAGAATGTGGACAGAGATGCTGTGTTATTTCATCAGATGCAGATAGCACGTTCAAAAAGTAAGAGCACAGATAGCATGGATTCCATACAGTCTGTTCCCAATAGTTCATCATATAGGGATGTTCCTGTGGCAACTAAGAGCTCTTCTCACAGTATAGAGGTTCTCATTCATAAACCACATCATGGATCATGGGAGGAGAGACTTGGAGGGTCTCAGCCTAGTTACCTACCCACACATCAAAAGAATCTCTCTCTACAGGACTTTGACTGGGAGGTTCCTAATTCCTGTCCCGACACAAAGTCTGTGGAGATGGAACATGTGAAACTTCATAAATTAGACAGGAAATTTGATGCTTCAATGAATAATTTGTTTGTAGCAGAAAATCAAGAAAAAAGCCAACCCCAAGGTCTTGTCATTTCACCAGCAGGTTCTGATGAAAATGTTAAGGAAACCCCTGAAATATATGAGGATGAAACCATTGTAAGTGGCTATAAAACATCCCCAACAATTAAAGACAAAAAACAGAGGGCACCTCCACCCCCTCCTCTCCCACCAAGAGTGTCACTGGAGGATCTGTATGCTAAACCTCAAAAGAAGGAAAGGAGAGCTGCACCCCTACCACCAACTTGTGGATCACCACAAGGAAAAACCACAATTCAAGTCCAGGAAGATGAGGAAAAATCTGCATTTCAAACTGTGAAACCAGTTGTTCCTCCAAGGACCTATCTGTCGAAACCTGAGGCAGGGGACAACAGTCAGATAAAGAAGCTTACTGACTCTCTTCTTGCTTTGCAAGGAAGAGATGTGTTGAATATTCGTGCCAAAATTTCCAAATTTGAAATCGGTGACCACCAACCCTCCAATGTCCCAGAGAGGAATGTGGATTATATTCTAACTTCTGAAGGTAGTGAGACACAAACAAGTGAGGATAAAGGCTATTTAAAACACGAACCTGATGTGAATTCCAATTCTCTGACCAGTCTTCAGAACTTTTATTTTGCCCTACAGAATGGGACTCATACAAGCCAGTGTCATGATGAAGCCAGTAATCCATTTAGTACACCATCAATGGAGTCTCTCCTGCACAAGTCACTGAGCCAACAGAGTGTTATAGAAACATACTTATAACTGCAAGTAAACCATCTCTAAATGGATTTACCAAACATTTTGTTGCAATACCGGTATATAATGATCATTCTTACAAATTTTAATAGTAGAAATTCATATTCACAGGCATACAGCTGCTTGTAAAGTGACCAGAAATACACAGTTTTTCTTTGATCAATTTAATACTGGTTTTTATGATATTTTAAAATGATGTCTTAAAAATTTAATTGTGCAATATGATTTTCATGTTGAGAATCAATGAATAAAAATGTAAAAAAAAAAAAAATATATACAAGGATTTAATTTGATTTGCAAAGTAAATAAGAGGTACCGGGGGGGGGGGGGGGGGCTTCCTCCCTTTATACTTTTGCTCATATATAGTGTACATTAGAAAATGTACCTACTTAATGCTTGTGCCCCCTCTTGTCAAGGAATTTTTGGTTTGTGCCCCACAAAACTGAAAATGTTTAGTTTTGCCCCCACATCTCCCTCACTGAAATTGCTTCCTAAGGGTTTGAGGAAAATTGATTTCAGCCAGTCTCTTTATTTATCATATTTTGTATAAAGCTATCATGCAAAGATACATAAACTATCTTGTATTACAATTTTAAGTACATATGTTCTTCATACCAACTTTTTTGTTGGCTAGATGTTTACCGACAGTGTGAGGCAAAACAGCAGGCACTGAAAGTCATACATTAATCAAATGTAGGTCAAGCTCAAACGTCAAGGTCACGAGGTAAAAATGTTGGTACTCGAAGAGAGGTCTTGTCACAAGAAATACCCATGTGGTATTTGAAAGCCATAGCACCCACCATTCAAAAGTTATGGCTAAGGTTGAAGTTTTTCAAAAGTAGGACAAAGGTAAAGGTCAAAGGGTAAAAAAAAAGTTGATACCAAAGAAAGGTCTGGTCACGTGGAATACAAATTTGAATTATAAGAGCCCTAGCATCAACTGTTGAAAAGTTATGGCCAAGGTTAAAATTTGGTAAAACTAAATTTTGCAGAAGTATGTCAAACTCCAAGGTCAAAAGGTAATATGTTGGTACCCAAAGAAAGGTCATGTCACAAGGAAAATATAAATGTGAAATACGAAAGACCTTACACCAACCATTCAAAAGTTATGGGCAAGGTTAAAGTTTTTGCAGACTTACAGACGGACAGAGCAAAAGCTGTATGCCCCAGAATCTTCGATTAAGGGGGCATAAAAAGGAGTGTGTAAGAAGAAAGCAAATCAGCCTGTTTCCTTTTTTTTTTTTTTTTTGAAGTAAAAGTACTTAGGTTAGAATATCTTCTTTACCTTTGTTTATGGGATTTAGAGTGGTTCTCTTTTCTAGGCTACATGGGAAAAAAAACTTATTAAAAAAAAATATTTGAACTCAAGTTGCTTTTTGCATTTGTTTATTACTGCTTTCCATAAAATACTGAAGAAAAACAAGTGATGTGGGGTTATAAATAGTAACCAGAAAACCATTTGAGAACGTTTTTCCTGCCTATCGGCATTTTCGATCGGGAACTGCACTAACAAACCTAAGATTGGCAGATGGTAATTAAAATAGCATAGAATTTATTACCAAATCAGGAACCAATTGGCATAAAATACAGAAGTCACAGGAATGCAGGTAGAGAAGCTTCCTAGATGTATTAAGAAACCATGGTTTCCAAACCAAACGTAAAATTATCTATGATCGGAACTATGAATTAAAGTACATGTATAAAGCTTTGATACCTCGATTCCTCAGCTATTTTGTTTTGTCAGTCCCTCTGAGTTAGAGACTGTATATATTTCATTGAAGATTTTAGATTTTTCAAACGCTTACAAAGTGCTATACCTGAAAGAAATATGTTTAAGTATAGAAAGCTCTAGAGAGAGAAGGGGGGGGGGGGGGTCTGCATAGTACTTTCTAGGTCATTATATCTGGAGCGGGAAAAATGTCCTCCTTCTCGATCTTCTAACAAATATCTTTCTGCAAACATCGTGTAAAAAAAGTAAATTGGTAGTTTTCGTATCTATATTAATTCTATCATGATATAAATTTTGAACTTACTAGGGAAAGGGGGGAGGGGGGGTAAATGCAAAATAATGCCCCCGCCAGGAAGAAAAATCTGAATCCACCCCTAGCAATACTGACTCAGCTGTAAACTATAGGCTATGATGCTATCTATAGGCATATTCTAGCTGCATCGCTGACATGAAAAATTTCCTCAAGTAAGAAACAATCTTTATTTTCTCTGAAAATATCGGACTTTAAGAAACTATCTCTTACTGGTGTATTGTATTATATCAAAGATATGGTATATAAGCACTAGGAGAAAAATGACAGTGTTTGTATTCATAAAGTTCTGCGGACTTTATCTTTCATTTTAGACAATCAATAATTATTATCGCATTCATTTTGTTTTCATGCTCAAAATCAGCACCCGTACAATGCCCATACATGACCACAGGCGCCTGAAATGTGGATCGATAACCCCCCCCCCCCCCCCGCTTTTTAATTAAAAAAAATTGTAAGAGTTTATAATTTCTTTGTATTTTTATTATACCGTACAAGGCCATTCTCTAAACGTAAGAAAAAGTACAATCTGCTTGTATGGAACGACATATGGATGTGATTGACGGGGAAATTTTATATTTTTGAGAAATTATAAACTCTTACAATTTTTTTTAATTAAAAAGCGCGGGGGGGGGGGGGGGGGCTATCCATCCACATTTCAGGCGCCTGTGACATGACCTAACTTGAGTAATTATACTCCGTGCATTTAGATCACATGTATGTACCGTGTCTTGAAGATGATGCATGCATCTCATCAGCATAAAATACTTGTCAATTGTATTTTTACAAAAGTATGAATCGTTATTTTATAAAGAAGAAATGAACTCTTTCGACACAAGCGCACGTGCACATTTGATAGGAAGGGAATGTGTTTAATTTCAGTAAAACCCAGACTGCAGAGTGAGTAAAAGGAAGCGTGTTTTTGTCTGTACATGTATCTCATTCACTAAACCTTATATATGCCATATAACTCGAATTATTTCTGCGGTTCTCCATATTTTGCAAATTTTGTGTGTTTTGTTTTGATTTGTTTTTTTTTTTTCAAAAAAGAAGGTAAAATGTTCAAATGGTATATCTTTAATTTGTTGGATTGGAATGATTGCAAACACAGAAAGAAGAAAAACTCTTCTTTTGGATCAAATGCCAAAATTTCGAGCCAAAGACATTGTCCCTTTTTGCTATGTTTTTTTCAAATACATGTTTCTGCTTTATTTTTGTGGAGATAGTTATATTCTCTCTGGTCCATTTTGAAGGGCATACTTATTTTGCCTGATAGACAGTGTTCGATGCGTTTCAATAATATCGCAATTTGCATGCAGATGACTGGACGTGTAAGTTTGGTAAATTCAGTATACATTATATTACATTGACGATTATCGTTCTTATTTCCTATGACAAAAGAAAAAAATACATTCAGTATTGACGAGAACAACTATCTATACTAAAATCCCACAACGTATCTCTCTTTTCACGCTTCATTGCCTTCATCCTGTGACCTTCAAGTAGGGTTATATATACCCAGTGAATTCGGCATGAAAATGGCGACAAGTATGACACGGACTTTGCTAGAGGACGAGAAATGTGATGATATATTGACTTGCTCGATATGTCTGGAGTTTTTTAAGGAGCCAAAATATTTACCGTGCTTACACACGTTTTGTAAGTCGTGTTTGCAGGCATATATCTCAACTAACGTAAAGGAAAGGGAACCATCATCCAATCCATGTGAAAACAACGATAGATGTATTTCATTAACTGAAAGAAGTTTTTTATGTCCAGTGTGCAGAATGAAAATTGAATTTAACGAGGAAAAAGATGACAGGAAAACATGGATCGAGCACATACCTAGCAACCATTTTATCGTCAGCATGCTGGATAAACGAGCAATAAGAATTATGGAAAAGATTTGTGATCCATGTTTAACACAGGGCGAACAGGAGAAGGCAGTGGCTTGGTGTTTGAACTGCACAGAGGCGCTTTGTGAAAAATGCAAAGACTATCACAAGAAATTCAAGCTTTTACAAAACCATCGAGTTGTTGGACTTGCAGAAGAAGTTCTGGATAAGTATGATGTGTCTGGATTTATACCTTGTCTCGAACATCCCTCCGAGCCTGCAAGGATCTACTGCAAGGACCACAGAATCCACTGCTGTACTATTTGTGCTGCTGTCGGTCACAGAAAATGTGTTGATGTTTGCTCAATCGAAAATGCCGCCAAAGGAGTCAAACAAAATCAAGAAACTTGTAAGCTGATAAACCGAATCAGTCAACTCAAAGCTATCTTAAGAGAAATGATAAGTTCTGGTAAGGGAGCTAAAGAAGAACTTCAAAAAGAGGCATCTGAAGTTGAGAATGTAATAAAAGATTTCCAAGAAAATATCAAGAAACATCTAGACGCCGTTTGTTTTACCTTACTTAATGATCTGAAATCTCAGCTAGAACTTTGCAACCTCCAGATAGATTCTGATGTGGACGGAATGTCAAATGTGCTCTTAAGAGTGGAACAAATCGGATCAGTGCTTCAAACATGCATTGACTGTGGATCGGATGTAGAATGTCTTATTGAAAGAAAAAATGTATGTGAAATTGAAGAGAAACTCCAACACAGCACAAAGGGATTTTGTAACAAAACTTTCGTTTGTGCTCTAAATTTCAAACCAAGTCAGTCATTCTATGCTTTAAAAACCTCTCTGAATTCAGTAGGTGATCTAGAAGTGGAAAGAAGAGAGTATGGCACACTGCCGTCTATGTATAGAAGTGGAGAGGTTTCTTTATTGAAACTGGTGAGATTCGAAAAGAAGTTTGGTTTCTGTAATGCTGCATTTTTAAATGGAAACATCATCGTGATAATAATTCAGTACTCTAGCTTTATCCAATTTTGTGACATGGAGCTAAATGAATTGCCAGACAAAGTAGTTGAACTGGAAGACTACCCATGGGATTTATCAGTAGACGATAATGAGGGCATATATATCTCCCTTCCCAAAAAGCAAAAAATTGTTCGGATTGATGCGAACACTTGCCAGAAAACTTTAGAGATTCGTACTTTAACAACATGCCAAGGAGTATCATACATTTGGGACACAATATTTTATTCCGACCGTTGGAGGGTTCGAAAGAAAAGTGGAGAGGAAGAAATTGAAATATATCCAAACAGCACAAAATTACTGGCTTGTGACCCAATTAACAAAAAAATTCTTTTTGGGACTAGTCATGCTGTAATGTGCTACATGTATTCCATTTCAGAGCAGAAAACAAAGGAACTTTACTCTGATTCTGAGCTGAATGTCGTCAGAGGTATTACTACTGACTGTGTTGGTAACATATATGTTGTCCATGATAAATCAAGTTGTATTTTCCAGTTGTCTCACGATGGACAGTTCATTAGAAAAATAAACATCCCTGCTGTCGGGGTAAATAAACTATGGAGTATCAACGTCGAGAAAAAAGGAACAAGATGTCTTCTCACAAACACGGAAGGAGCTGTTCTGCTTCTTGATATATCATGTCACAGAAATCGCCTTGAGACTGAGAATTAGAAGGACAGCACGTGTTCGAATGCACTTAAAGTGAAGTGGTTCCAAAATTAAAAATACTGGACATTTATTTCTTTTGTGAAAATTATAAATGATTTCAGCAATGAGTAAATTGTAAGGATATTGTCAAAATTACAATATTTTCTTTAAAATCTATGAGTAACTTTGGACTGAATTGAGATTTTCAATTTTCTTTTGTGATGATAATGTTCAAATGAAAATAAAATCGACATGTCTAAATTGTTATTTATATGAAAATGCTAAAAACAGCGGGCTTCATATTTTAGCGGCTTTGGCGCAGATAATGATGCGCTAATTTATGAACACCGCTAAGAAATCATTTATAAATACATGTACAATATACGGCACGGACATGTGAAGCGCTAATTTTTGATTTCGCCAACAAATCCATAACCAGTGATTGCGCAAAATTTTGAATACGCCAATATATGACCACATACAGTATTTTATTGATTTTTTTTCTCTACGTTTTCCCCTTCATAAAGCAAACATTGGGACAAATATACATAAAAGGTAGAGAATAAAACTTGAAATATTCATAATGAAGAACAAACAGCTAGTAGACATGTCTGAGGAACTATTCACCAGGAAAGGTTAGCAATTTGATTAAACTGGGATAATAGATGCCAGACAAAGAAAAGAAATAGTATTATACATACATCTACTCAAAAATTAAACAATTCTCTTTAAAAAGATACACTGATAAACATACAAGGGATATTTAGTTTTCAAAGTTCAAGTTGGTTAACATTCGAATTTCAAATGCAAAGGAAGGAGAAACTTATTACCGGTGACTAATGGACCATCTAATAATCTAAATACATTTACCATTAAAAAATTGATTTAATTAATGAAATTGTAAAGTTCTGGGCATATCTAAAAATATTAAGATTAAATAAGGTGACTAGAATGATTTTTAGGGCTCCTCTTTCCGCTCCAATATCCGCTCCAGTATCTGATTTTGTGGGCTTATTTATGTTGGTGAAACCAAGGGTTCACTTAATAAAAGAATATCGGGGCATAGATTTCAAACCAACAACGGGAGTCAGCAGCTTCTATACAAACATTTTAATTTACCTGATCATTCTATTTTGTCAGTGAAAGTTATAATTCTTTGATTCACTACTACCTTATGTAAATAAACAGTTAGGCCTTCATTACATTCGCACCAAACTTTACTCTGTTCCTCTGAAAGTTTTGAATTGTCTATTTGTAAAAGTCAAGGAAAGTCCATATTTGGATTCTACGACACCAAAATACAGGCTCGGATCTGCGATAACGGATATTGCAAATCACAAGCTCTTTGAACCGCCACGTTTCGCGGAAGAAAATACCACTCAAACAATCCGTTTGTTCCATAAACTTCAATATACCAACAAGGAATTGACGCAATTAATATAAGTATTATTCTTAATCACAAAAAGGTCCAGTCTTGTATTCCATCATATTTCAAAATGAAGTCCAAATTTTTTTAAATAAAAAAAAACTCTATAGTGCATCTGAAACATAATTCTCCAATGTGTACATGTTCTTCTTCAACGACAGCATACAACTATAGTCCTGCTGGCCACGTCATTACTGGGACGTAAATATTAAATCACTTATTATAAGAGGGCCTAAGTTTGGGAACTTTGATCTTTCAACTCTCGTCATAACGTCATAAATATTATGAATTCATTAGAAGATTGCGCCAGACGATGGACTAAATATTAAAAAGAAGACCTTGAGACTTTTCAGAATGGATTAAATGCATCATTAGATGGATTTTGAAATCGCGCATTAAGCGATTGAGGGACAATATGAAAATCATCTATCCTTCTGACTTTGACAATGCAGAACTGAAACAATAATAAGATTCATACGATCAGTATGTACCTGTCCCGGCTGACAAAGCAGGTACATTTGTAACAACATTGTCTTTGTTTGTAAGGCTCATTATTTGAATTGGATTTTAGAGGAACTAGGATTTAATTCTGTAAGTGGTAACCCAACTTATATCCATAGTTTCCTTTCTAAGGAGGAAATTCTTTAAAATCATATGCCAGTTTTAAATATTTTTAATATTCCAACAATCGAAATGAATTTGAATTTCAATACCTATACTGGATTCCAAAACTCCATAAAAATCCTTACAGCGGGTTCAAGTAAATATTCTACCAAGCCTCTTTCTTTACTCCTCACTAAAATATTTACATCAGTAAAGGAGAAACTTCTGGAGCACTGTACAAGAGTATATTCGAGAAGAGGTATAAATCAGATGTGGATACTTAGAAACTCCAACAAACTTTTAGAAAATTTTGAAATCACAGAATTTGAACAAAATCAATAACATCAAAACGTACGACTTTTTAACACTTTATACAACCATTCCCCACGATAAATTAAAGTCCAGACTTTTTGACATCATTGACAGCTGTTTTTTCAATAAAAATGGAACTCGTTCATTTACTTTCCTTGTCATTGGTCATTTGCCAAATTATTTTGTTAAAAAGCATTCTGGTTGTACACACAAATACTCTGATGTTGATATTAAAAAGATGCTCGAGTTTCTGATTGACAATATCTATGTAGTTTTTGGAGATCAGGTCTTTCAACAATCTGTTGGAATTCCCATGGGTACCAATTGCGCCCCCTTGTTAGCAGACCTATTTTTGTATTCATACGAAGTAGAATTTATTCAAAACTTCTACATGAGAAGAAACACTTGCTCTGGCCTTCAACTCGACATTTATAGATATATCTACGACTTATTACCAATTAATAATAGTTACTTCCATTCATATGTCGACTCGATATATCCATGTGAGCTTGAAATAAAGGATACCACAGAGTCTGACACATCTGTTTCATATTTGGATATCTTACTAGAAAAAGACTTTAATGATAACCTAACAACAAAGCTTTATGATAAACGTGATGACTTCAATTTTTCAATCGTCAACTTCCCTTACTTATGTAGCAATATATCCTTATCACCTGCATATGGGGTTTTGTCTCCCAGTTGATTCGATACGTAAGAGCATGCTCTAAGTGTGAACAATTTCTAAAACGAGGCAAGCTATTGACAAACAAGTTGATAAAACAAGGGTATCAACAGTTTCATTTGAAGTCATCATTTTGCAAGTTTTATGGTCGATACAATGACCTTGTCAGCAAATACAATCTATCATTAAGTCAAATGCTGACAGATCTTCTTCATACTAATTGTTAGGCCATTATTTACATACTGAATTGTCTACAGATTTTTGCGTTTTCCCGGTCAGGACGAGGAGCTAGCACACGGTGAGTGTGACCGATCGGCAGGGGTTGCGCACTCCTCCATGGCACCTGATCCCACCTCTGATGTTTTTGGAGGTCCGTGTTTGCCCTGCTCCCGATCTGTATTGTCTAAATGGACATTGAGCTTGAATTCTCTTCGTAATCTTCATATTTGATTCATGACATTTGATAATTTACATTTATTCTCTTGCGGTGGCCTTTAATTCAATATTTAGATCTATCGACGACGTTTTATCAATTAATAACATTCATTTTCATTCCTACGTTAATTCGATATATCGTTTTAAACTCGGAAAAAAGGATACCACTGAGTCTGATACATCTGTTTCATATTTGGATATTTTACTAGAAAAAAGACTTTAATGGTAACCTGACAACAAAACTTTATGACAAACATGATGACTTCAACTTTTCTATCGTCAACTTCCTTATCTATATAAAAATATACCATTATCACCTATATGTGGAGTTAATAGCTTATGTCTCCCAGTTGATTTGATGCACAAGAATATGCTCTACAAACAAACAATTTTCTAAGAGGAGGCAAGTTATTGAAAAATAAGTTGATGAAACAATAATCTCAACAGTCTCATTTAAAGTCAACATTTGGCATATTCTGTTGTCGATACAATGACCTAGTCAGCAAATAAAATCTATTATTAATTCGAATGTTTGCTGACGTTTTTCAAACCATTGTTAGGCGATTGATGTCCCTTATTCATCATAACTTTGTTAATATGTTTGTATAACTAAGAAGCAGACAGGAGACAATAGAGCACCGCCCTACCACCAGAACCCCTGACACAAGGGCCATGAAATTCATATTTTTGGAAGAGGCACCCTCGCTCATCATAACTATGTACTTAGTTTTGTTTAATACATAGCAGACTTGAAAAATTTTCCAAAAAATAATGCTTTTCACTATCTAATCAATAGAAGCCCACCTTGACACCAGAGCCCCTTACCCAGGGACCAAGAAATTCGTAATTTTGGAAGAAGCACCCTTGCTCATCATAATTATGTATTTAGTTAGTTTGTTTCCTACCCAGGAGCAGAGAAGATTTTCAAAGAATAAGTGCACTTTCACTATATGGTCTATATATAGTCCCGCCCTAGCACCAGAACTCCTGGCACTGGGAATATGAATTATTTCACAATTTTTGGTAAAGGGCTCAATGCTTATTACAATCATGCCAACAGTTTGGCTGCTTGATGTCCTGGAGTAAAGAAGAAGTTTTTAAAGATTGCACTGATTTTGGTGGTTTTTGTCCCACCCCTCAGGACTCAGGGGGACATGGACCATGAATTTCACAATTTTTGTTCCCCTTCACTCATAGATGCTATATGCCAAATTGGTTGAAAATGCTGAAATGTTAAGGCACGACGGACTACGCAAGACAACAGACAATTTAAACGGATAGTAATAGGTCAACTGAGTGACTCGGGTGACCCAAAACTGTTTGACAGAAAAGTCTGTCTTGCTTTTTAGTCAAGGTAATAAGGTAATTTCACAGTTCTGAATATTATGAGGACAACCAAGTTAACAGAATTTAATCAGACAGGAAATCTATTTTCAAAAAAATATTGAAACCAGGTTTTACACGACAGAAAAGTGTGGTTGATCATCAAACAATTCTCTGTTGAAACAATAGCATTTGTGGTTATTTTTTGTGGATTTTTTTTATATTAATCGCTAATGGATTTTTTATGAATGTTTTCAATAATTGATATACTTACTTTCTCACAAGTGTTAATATGCCATCATGTCCATCCATTCTTTGGATACAAATTTTGTTCAAAACTGATCTTAAATTACTTCCGATGTTGTGGAGTAGGGTAGAATTTCCCCA